CCATGAAGTGTGAAGGTGTTAAAGAGGGCCAGAAGTCTCTGGGGCCCCAATATAACAGTAGGGTTAAAGGGACACTCCAACATTTTGCAATGTTTTGCATTTCACAAAGGTAATTCATGTGTTCCTTTCTGTGTAGTAGACAGCTGAGGATCTAGATTACAGCAAACAATCTGTCTTGCTTAGGTCAGGTTACAGTGAAATGAGTCATGTTTTGACTCATTCAGCTCATTTAGTATGCAGAACGAGCAAGCCTCCAGTAGCAACAGGGCAACATGGGCAATTGCTCCAGCGCTCCAAGGACTACAGGATTATTTGTTGGAATCTGATACATTTTTATTTTGTCACATCTTGGGGCTTTGAGGTTTCAGAGGGACTTTTATGAACCTTTAATAAAAGGGTTCTATACAATTTTTACAACTTAATTATTCATGTATTGATGAACTTTTGAAGCATTTGTAGCATAAGATAAGCAATATTAACAGCAATATTAAATATTAACAATATTAAAAGCTTTTCTAATCTCTTTAACCCAGCATTTGGAAACCTGAACATGGGAGTGATAGAAGCCTGTGAGCATGAGCAGTGATCCCTTCTGTCGGTCCAATGTATTTACAGTCACCTGCTGACAGTTTTAATGTACAGTGGTGCAGAAGACGAGAGAGTTCAACACGTCCTACTTTCATGACTGTGAATATCGCGTGAATAATGGAGCTTCCTGCCTGCCTCAGGCTGCCGCATGGATGACTGGATGGCTGGGCTGTAAGGGATACAGCGCTGTAGCACAGATAGGAGCCGGAGGAAAAGCTAATTGGTCATACTCCCCTGGGCAGGGAGAGTGTAATTCTTCATCCAATGGAAAAGAAAAGCATAATTCAGTGATTAAAATGTGACAGTTTCCTTCATGCAGCAATTTTTCTGGGGGCACAGATCCAAAGCTTGTTACAGACTCTTTTCTTCTCAGAATTGTCGAATAATATACAGTTTCTACAGTAAACGTCTTTTACTGTTTCTTTTAGTCATAATAAAGCTTATGGAAATCTTTAGGAATTCCTTGATTCATCCTTGCATTCATATTTACTCAGTACATCAGTCTCATCTCTGTCTGTCTCTGAGCAGCTCAACCACAGCAGTTGGGGCTCAAGTGCCTTGCTCGTTGGCACCTAAACAGTGGCATGAGGGATGAGCAAGCACCCTGCCGGTCTGGGAGGCCAGACTAGGGGGGTAAGCGCAAAAGAACTGTTTGTATGGAAGGTCATGGAGGCCATATATGTTTCCTTGTGATTATGGAAAAACAAATTCATTATTTTAAGAAAACTCAAATATGAAATATGATGTTTGTTGTTGCCTTTAAAAGCAACCCATATGAGTATTTACTGATGTGGTGCTCCTGTCAACGGGACAACTTCATTTTTCAGTGCCTTTTAAAATCTTTGAATATGACCGTTACAAACTTCATATGATCTTCTAACTCTGTGGTTAGGATTTGGTTAGGCTTGGGCACAAAAACCACTTAACTACGTTTATGGAAAGACTCATGATGATGAACAGTGGTCCTCTGTGCCAAAGTGAAGCAACTAAACAATAACACCTTTGGCTTTCTGTACTTTTCAATAGCAATCCCTATTTTGTCATTAAGGGAACAACAACAAACATTTTCCAGAGTCTCAGTAACCACTCGCCCTCTTTGCCCCCACTTCACTGTCTACCTGAGAAGGCCGGAAGTTCAGCTACAAAGGTCCAGGGATGTGGCCCCTTTAACATGAACTGCCCCTGTTTCTGAAAACATCTGTGCTCCCTTAATGTTGAGTGGTAGTACTAAATGTGTGAAGATTTAATGTCAAAATTTGGGTTACATTTCATGCTTTAAAAGAGAAAAAACACCCTCATACCAAAATACACAGCCTGTTTGGCCCATGCAGGTTTGTCCTATCATGTTACTTTATGAATAATAAATGATGCTCAGTTGGTGATAGGATCCACCCAGTGAACTCGACGTGAAACCGAGAACTTCATTCACACCACGCGCCTACATTCTGAACACCAACCGGGAGCCCCCTCCGCATCATAGCACCATCACAATTACGGCGAAGTGACATTTTTCACCAAACTGTTCTGGTTTTGAAATGTCACTCAGAGCCAAATCCCACACAGACCTGCAGACGGCTAGGGAGTCCTTGTTAGATGACAGTCTGTACAAGTCTTTCTCCATGAGCAGCAGCAACGTTAACAGAGGCAGCCGGTTCGGGAACGGGACAGCAGAAGAGGTCAAAGGTCTCTCCAGACCGTCCAGGAGGCCTGTGCGGGTGGTCAGGCCGGTCAGCGCCATCAGCTCCAGTGGCTCCTTCGTCCAGATCAACCATCTGCAAGGAGAGCTGGTCAGAAAGAGGAAGGTAAGGAGGAAGAGAGGGTGAGTGGAGGTGTGTTGGATCAGTCTTCGTGCTGTACAAGCATCATCAGACTTTAAAGAGTCCACTTTCCCAATCCTGACTTCATTCACACGATTATTATTCATTTCTTTAAAATTATGAGGATAGTGTCAGAAGTCATGTAAGACTGTTGCACACAGGACAGTGCTAACATTATTTCATAAACATAACTGCGAAACAGGTGTAACAGACTGAGTGCTAAAGAATTTATAAAATATAGGTTACTCGACTCCACTGTCACTAGAAAACTGGAAATGCCAAATGAATATTAACAGTTGTAGCTGTGAGCACCGATGCAGATTGTTTATTGTTATTATTCTGTTATGTTATTCTCTAAAGAAACTGATAGCTTGCTACATGCAGGTGAACAGAAACAATTTTCAGCCTCCTTGTCTCATGAAGTACTTAAACAAGGACACATGGGCCAGATTTATAAGGGCATGTGTGATACATTCAGCCCCAAACACATGCAGTGTATTTATCAAGTATATGTTCCAGACTGGTTTTATGTATTCTGCAGGATTTACTGTGGTCATGCTACTTGTAACTGTCAGTTTTGCTGGAAACTTCACAGCCTCAGCAAAGGAGTCGTAAACGTGGCGTTTTGGAATTTGAACTTAACCATCAATGTGTAAAATCACTACAGATAGCAACTGAGAGTTTCTTTGTTTTTCTTCTTCTTTGTTTTTGACATGGAAGTGAGCGTTTAGCTGCATTTGCTTAAGTATTAACATCCATTCTTCACCTGCTTCACTCACTCACTCATATACTGGAC